CGGGTTGCCGTCAAACTGGGCTAACTTTCATTCAGGAAGATGATCTTTGCGCCTATGCATCAATAATTCCGCCAATTCTGGAGCGGAGAGAGTTCGATCCGATGAACAACCTTGGTTCGGATAAGCGTAAGACGGAGCGTAGTCTTCGTTGACTGGCTGATAACCAGTATTAGTATAGTTGACAAAATACGGAACATGTTGGGGATGAACTGGCGGAGAATTAAAATACACAGTCCTCCCACTAGTAAACGGGGCGGCGGTGTTACACGGTGGGACAACAGTTGTCACATTAGAAAAAATGTTTCCAGCATTACAACACGGAGCAGGCGTGACGATTGGAGTTGTAGCTGCCAATCGCCATAAGTTTGCATCACGTGTGTAGTAATCGTTGATTTTAGGTGTTACAGTATGCGGTACAAAGGGAAGATTATATTGCGTCTGAACTGGCGCTGCATGGCAATTAGGTGCCGAAAAGAAAACCGCGTTGGTTTTACTCCAAAAGATGAGAAGCCACCACCAGAAAATGCAGATGACAAAGAAACAAAACCAGAACCGGGTTGTGCCGGTAACATTAGGACAGGTAATGATTCCGGTTGACCGATGGCATTAGTTATGTCTGAACTCATGATCTGTAAAGGAACAGCAGACGGTGGTGGTAACAGGTGTGCACTAGAAATATGAATGCACATTTGTAAACAGCATTATCAATTTTTGTGGTGTGACTATTATTCTCAATGTACTCAAGTAATAATGAGTGACCTTTCAGCAGCTCAGTTTCTAGATTTAGACGGGTTTCAAATAATTTGCGTATCTTACTTTGGAGTTTTTCGTCCATGTTTTTCACAAATTGACAATGTTTCACGGATGCTCACCAAAGAAAAAACAATTAATAAAATGAGATACTGTTTTGATACGTAATTAAATTTGCATTAATATATCAACATTAGTTTACAAGATGGGGGAACTTGACGTCTCAAAGCTTCTGCCTGAAACCTATTTTTTTATAGCTATTCGAGCTTTCAGTGGTAAGCGGTTCCGCTTCTTACGCGTCTTAAGAATGTTAAGATTAGCGCTATAACGCCTTAGAAGGAGGAGAGTCTTAAATTCAAGGGAAAGTGGCTGTTGAAGCTCTTTACTTCTCAATTAGTACCTGGTCCTTAGCCTTACGCTTAGAGATAAAGTCTTTGACGACGTTCAGAACGAAAATACCTGTTGAAACTAAACTTTCCTTTATATCCTCGGTTCCGTTCCGTTTACAGAATACCTTCGCACAAATATTTGTCCTATACCCTAATAACAAATTGACAAGTTGCTCACTACTCAGCTTGCGGTTGTTGTTGCTGCGGTGCCTACTTATCGAGTTATCAATGGCGTCGTGCCAAATTACAAGGTCGTTACGGTGCGACAAGTAGTGATGCAGGTAGTACTGTATTGCTTTCTGAGAGTCCCTAGCGTTAAAATTCAAACTCAAAACTGGCTCTGGGACGCGCTCCTAGAATGATTACCATACACTTAAGGGACCTATGCGACGGCTGCGTTACGCTTAAGTACCAATGGGGTTGGAAAATTAAGTTGGTCGGTTGAACTCCAACAACACACACGGAGTAAACCTGAGGCTGAAAGAATTCAACTTTACTCACTTAGTATCACCTTACCTGACCACTTAACATTACTGTCACGCAATGAAGTCAATAATCGGTCGGGCAGAAACAGCTTTGATTTACTTGAAGCGAACTGGCTTTCAGTTTCACCAAAGGTGGGTGGGGGATCAAGTAAATTGGTTAAATTCCAACAACACACAAGGAAGAAACCTGAGGATGAAAAAACTCAACTTAATTTGCCTGATATTCCGCTACGAGACCACTTAACATAAGGTTGGTTTCATCTTACAGCACAGTTTTGCAGAATTCTTGGGACGTTTTGAGAACTTTTTGGTAATTTTTTTTTCTGTTTCCACAAAATTTTTCGGAAAATTTTGATCAGCGGGTTCGAGTCATAAACCAATCCAAAAAACTAGTCCAGTTCCGATTTCACAAATTACTATTCCGTTCAGATATATCCAAAATTTTTTGGTATCGAGAAAAAGTGTCAAGTAAATTGTCTAAGTACCGATTGTAAGATATTTCAGTTCAACGGAACTGTCCAAAAATTTGGAGTATTGACCAAAAAATTACCGGGTGCCAGCTTGCGGAAAAATTTTGAACATATATGACAGCGTAAATCAATTTATAGCACAAGTGGAGTTTTAAGAAGTTGTCGAGTCTTACAGTTTTGGAGGATGGGTGGTCACCGGTTTCGGGTTGTCAAAGCTTTAGTAAGTCTCAGAGAAATTGTTCAGCAATTACGTCTCTAAGTCGTACAAAACGTCTGTAGTTGACTTGGTATCTATATCACTCCAGTACTAGTCCAAACACGGTTAATCACACTCCCCAGTCCAGGTCAAATAATCCAGTTTTGGGAGGTTCATCTGAATGTTCTGTCCTTTCGGCAGTTAAGACACATTGCGTTGCTTGGCCATGTTGTTTGCAATCTCATCTGATGCTTCAATCTTTCACTGTTCGATCAGTCCTTCTCCTGCCTTGTTCAGCGCTTTCGCTAACAACTCTGCTCTATTTGCACTCGTGTCGGGGAAACTGTCGTGTCCGGGAAACACTCGAATAAAAGCAAAGGGGCCCCTTGGGCAAAGGGTCCCTTGTCTTGAAAAGAAATTGGTCGTTTAATTATTAAACAATCAGAGCATTAACTGTCCCTTGTGGGGCGCCAAAACGTGCGCGCTCAATCTCTGTAGTATGATTTTAAAACAAAATTTCAAAATTAATTCGTATTCTCGGCAATACAAAATTCATCGATAATACTAGCTAATTTCATCCAAATTTTGCAGTTAAACAAGTTCATAACTTCACCAATACAGCTTCCGGCTCTTTTCCAGTCCCCCCTTTCAAATTCAAATTTGAAAAGCTTATTTAACATTGGCATAATGCAATGAAATTTGGCATGGTGAACAAATCGACAACTGTGAACAGATTTGTTCTTCATACTTTACAGCGTAACATCACTCATTTAGCCGTAAAAACACGTAAAACAAACATAACTCGGTATTTTGGATGGGGGGAAACAGGAAAAGAGCCCAGCTTCCATAACAAATTGGCGCAAGCTAGCCACAAGAACCGGTCGGTAATGTCCTTGAGACAAAGTGCTCTTTTTGGCGTCAGCCTTAATCAAAGCTGAACCAAAACAGTTAAATATGATATAACCCCCGTTGTTAGTTTATTAAAACATGGGCAGGTGGGGGTTTCGCACCTACGTCAACTGGCAAGTTTGTATAGTCTGTAACTTAGCTTAGGCCACTCAGCCAACTGTGCTTGTTTTTATATGCATTTATACTCTGTTTTATATGCAACTATACTCTGTTTTATATGCATCTATACTCTACATTTGCGTTGCAACAAAAAAAATAACGAGAGCAATTAGCGTGCTTCAAATCAGCATGGGATGATGTCCGAAACGGATGTTTTGCCGTTTTTGTTACCTATTGATAAAAACAAAAATAAAAATTTCGCGCGCTTTTGTTCCGACCATAAAAAATGGAGAGGAACTTTGTATTTGGGTGTTGTTTAGTTTTTTTGTTTTCCACGCAAAATCAGGTGACACGAAAAATCAACGGAATCGGATGAGTGATATATCATACTAGAACCTTTACAGTTGATATTAGAAGGTCCTTTAATAATTTCCTAAAACATTCACCCAGTATCGAGAAAAACATTTTTGAAATTTTTGGTTTTCCGTCTAATTTTGAGCTAGTATAGCCGGAGCAACAATACTGCTCGTATCGGCGCAAACTTTGAAACTTCAATTTGGAATCAACTGGTTTTGTGGGTGTTGGTTGATTCGTAAGTGCTAGAAACAATTTAAAAAGCAATCACTAGTTGCCAACAAACAGATATCCCAAACTGTCAAAACTGTGGTTTTGAACATCCATTGGTTTATGAAAAACATTAAAAATTGAAGAAAAAAAAAGTTTCTTATTGATCGCAAATGTTTTTACAATTGGGTAATTAACTTTTAACAGACTATTGTCTATTTTTATACCCACGTTGTTTTTGCTACGTGATTTCAAAAAAATTTGTAAACAAAAACTGGAAAAAAATCTGAATGTTTCGACTGCCCTTTAAAGAATCTGAAGATTTTGGTGGAAAAAACGAAAATTTCTATAAAAATTCGAGCGATTTCTAGTGTTTTGTTTTCAAGTTTTTGCTTGTGCCAGTTTTTGTAAAAATTGAGTTCTACGTATGATTTTTTGCTGTTTTTATTTGGCTAAAAAATCTGTTTTCTTTTTTTGTTGCAGAGGAACGGTTTTATTGATTTTAATTGTTGCAACGAAGTGGTTTTGCTGAAATTATCTCTGCAGGAAAAAAGTTATTTACCATTGCTGCTGATCCATTGCATTTTAAGGCAAGACTTGAGTCTCTAAATTGTTAGTTATCTTAAAGTGAATTTAAGTTGATTAAGTTTGGTCTGCGTGCTTTTTCATAATATTTTGCCCTGTAAGTACTTTAGGTTTTTGTTTGTCAATCCTAAATTGATAGGTGCTTAAAAGTTTGATTGAAAAGATGTTTTTGAACTTTCAAGCTGTTTTTCTTTCTCGCTGCTACTACTTATCCGCATCAGACTCTGTTTTCTTTTCTAGATTTCCGGATGACATTTTGATTCTCACCGTAAGTTCCGTTTCGCCTCGTTAAATTTGTGCTCAGAGCATCAATATTTCTTACATGATATTTTAAAAATTCTGGCGAAACGGTGTTTTGAAAAGTCAAAAAAAACCACACCGAGCCTCAAATATTCGGCCACTTTCTTCAAAATTATAAAATTAAGTTAATCTCGTTGTTGGGAGAGGAAGGATTTTTTTAGCACAAAAAGTTGTATGCGAGAAAGTGCTTCTAGTTATTAGCAACAGGATCAACACTTGAACCTTATGGGATTTAATAGTCGTGATGACTAACCTCCTGGCCAGAGAATTGTGTCCAATTTCAGACCTCCCTGATCTGGTTGGTAGGTGCCGATTTGACGCCAGATGCGGTACTCGTCTTTAGTCGAGGGAATGTTCGGGTTCTTGATGAGGTTGACTATTCTGTAGAAGCCGTTGGAGTTGAATCCGTCGCTATCGAATTTGTACTTAGAATTGTTTTTCACTGTGAAACTGCTTTGTTTGAGAACCCTGCAATTATTCAAGTCAGATGACCTCATGAAGTTTTTTAATTTTTCAACCTATTGTTTCAATTTCTGGATCTCCTTAACTATATCCCCTTTTTGCCAAAGGGGGAATATACGTTACTAGGTATTAAACTCTGGTATGCTTAACCGTTGATTTACTTCTTCATGGGGGGATATCGTTACTAGGTACCCGAATTTTGAAAAATAACAATAAGTGGTGGGCTGGCTGACCTTAGCAGTTCTTGCCCCTGCTTCACATGTGTTTGAATGTCCTGGTCTCTTAGACACGTCAAGGTATTTATTTCCGGTCGCACTGGTTCTCCGCTCAAATCACCAAGTACTTCTAGATTCTTCCGAGCCGACTCGGCTGCTCCCATTACGACCTCAGTTAAAGCCGAAACTACATCGGATGGGTCGTCCTTGAGAGCCGAGTAGAAAGATATGGAGCCGAGAGGTAGATGACGCATGATGCTAGGATCGTCCGAAAAACTGATGTCGGGAAATATCCAGATGTAGTTGTTGATCTCCGTACCGTCTGCAAAAACTCAAATTTAGAAAATTCAACTTTCACCGAACTTCAATAACTAGTCATATTGAATTTTTGTACCGTGAAGTTATAACTAGAGTTAATGAATTTGTACTAAGTTAAAACTATTTAAGCTGCGTGAGTTTAACATGGATGATTCGCTGAATTAAGTACTAATCGCTTCTTTAGCTTTCTGAAAGAAATGAATATAATGCCTTATACTTCAGAAAGGGGGTTGACAATTGATCAAGCAATACACCTCCCGAATTTAGCCAGATTTTGAGATAGTAATAGAATATTGGTGGAAGACCCTCTTTTCAGGAATTTAACTGCCTACCAAACCTAAAGGATGTCTTTTTGATGCTATTTTAGAACACCTGCTGTTAGCTATCCAACTCTAAAAAAAAGTCGCCAGTGGATACTACTTTTTGCGTGAGTGCGTCAAAGAAACCTCATAGCTTCTTTTTGGTTGAAACGTTCCGAAAACTGTCACAAAAGAGCAGTTTTTTTTACGTCTAGGGCCTTTTTCAGTTTTGGAGAAACTGGGGAAACTTATTGGCTGACGTAAAATTAAAAAAAGTTCCACTTCAAGACCATAACCATAATCCAAACTTACAACTAAAAGCATTATGGTTTTAAACTTGATAGATCAAATTATGAAAACAGAGCAGGGGCAGAGAAAAAGTCATGAGCATAAAAGGGTCAGTGCAATTTATTCGGATGTTCACACTCGGACTAATAAAGTAATCATGAGTCACATCTCGGGTCCACAGTTCAACCGATCGAATTATAAGGAGCCGATTTAGATAACCGCGGTATTCAATTTCTCTCCGCAGTACTATTAGTTTTGTTGGCTATGCCCTCAAACTTGTTTAAATAGGGTTAGGTTAAGCGATGCGTATCCTCATCTTCGACCAGTTGAACGGCGTTCATTAACTCACTCCAATCGTGGCCTGTGCCGCAATGGGCATGAAGACAGTGCGCTAAACAGAAAAGTAATTAAGCCGCTGGTTTCAAATTCTTTTTTCTAGAGACGATTACACGAAGCGTTCCTTGAAGATTCATTGAAAACCTAGAGGAGGTTCATTAAAAATGAGTCAAACTGATTTCGAGAGTGAGTAACATTACGCTAAAGTTTTAATAATGTAAGATGACACAAATAACTGCAAAATTAACTGACTTCACGGTGCAATTTCAAAAACCATTCTGCTTTTCAAAAATTGACATTTTGCTGCGATACAAATGGCTTGCTGATTGGACTGGTAGATTTCTTGAGATCCTTTTGGCACTCTTGCAGGGGGAGAGGGGAATCTAAGATTTTCTCAAGGGGGCAGCACTTCAAAAATTTCCAAAAATTTTGTCGTTTTTGTTCAAGTTGACCAAATTGATTTTCCAAGATTGCACAGAACACTACAAAGACCCTATTTAGGCTAAAAATTTCGGCCCTTGAGGAAAATTGGCGAAGAAAAAGAACATAAAAGAAAAATATTTTTTGGGTTCTACGGACGAAAGCGGGTGTCATAAAATGGTACCAAAGGGAATACTCGAGCCCCCCTCTGAAACCGCCCGGTTTTCTTATCGATCTATTAAAATGAGTCATTCATTCCTTTTGATTTTTCATTATAAAAAATTCCATATCGCAGAAATCAGTGTGCAATATGTATTAGCAATAAAGTAAAACAATATTGCTCGTATCAGGGCGAAGCCCTGAATGTTCCGACTGCCTTTTAAGGTTTATGGAGCAGTAATAACCTAAAAAATTAAATGTAAAAAAATGAAAGGAATTTTTTTTTCTTAAATTAGAAATTTTCTATGAAAATAATCACCCCTTGACGCCATATAAAGTACAAAAGAATAGATTTCGCTCCTTGTAACAAATCAATTATGGCAAATAAGCTTCTTTCAACCAGTTTGGAGCGATTTCTAAAACGGATTAAATCTCCGCTTACGCGCTTTAATAGCGCGAAGTATATCGCGCGTTAATTGTCCCAAATTGGTCAAAAGGGCAGTCTTTAAACCCCCATAACTTCACAAAAAATGATCACAGGTAAAATAACTTCTCAGGTCTCAGGACAACAATGCCTTTTGAATGATATAAAAAAATTTCATCAAAAATGGCAATTTAAAAAGTCGAAATTTGTCTGGAGAAAAAAAAACCCACCCGAGCACAAATTTTCCGTTACTTTCGTATCGAAAGTCGGAACAATTAGTTCGAACCTCTCAGCGCAAAAATATTAATTTGTTCCACATTTCTATCGAGACTTCTAACTTGAATTGAGTATCTTGGCTAAATTTAGCAGCACAGCGTATTATCAACCGCTAGATGCGGATTATCAACCGCTTTTTCACTGTAAGAAAAGGCAGTTAATATCAAGACACATCAGAATATCAATAACCTAGTTGTGATTTTTTGAGCAAAACAAAAAACTTCGAAAATTCGTCACATGATATATGGTTGCGAATGATTTAAAAATCCGATTCATATGATTTACGGAAAGATGGATATGAGTTGTCTGAGTCTGGATTAGTTTTGAGTTTAAACTCTTACACTGTGTTTGCGTTAGTTTATTGTTCCGACTTTCGATGCGAAAGTAAAGGAATGTTTCTGCTCGGGGTGGGTTTTTTTTTAGACAAATTTCGACTTTTTAACTAGCCATTTTTGACGGAATTTTTTAAATATCATTCAGAAGTTATTGTGATCTTGATCTTAAATTTGGAAAACTATTTCACCTGTGATGATTTTTTGTGAAGTTATGGGGGTTTAAAGATTGCCATTTTGGCCAATTTGGTACAATTAACCCGCGATATAGTTCGCGCTATTAAAGCGCGTAAGCGGAGATTTAATCCGTCTTAGAAATCGTTCCAAATTGGACGAAAGAAGCTTATTTGCCATAAATGATTTGTTACAAGGAGCAAAATCTATTCTTCTGTAGTTTATATGGCGTGTGGGGATTGATTTTGATGGAAAAAAATCAAATTTTCAAAAGAAAAAAATTTCATTTTTTTATTACATTTAATTTGTTAATGGTATTTAGGTTATTACTGCTCCATAAACCTTAAAAGGCAGTCGGAACATTCAGAGCTTCGCCTGGATACTAGCAGTCTTGTTCCCCTTGCTTTGTAAATCTGGTAAGAAAAGAAAACAAGGCTGGTCATATCAGACATTTCTTTACATGTTCTGACTGTCCTTTAATTCAGTTTAACATTTTTTATTGTTTTTAATTAAAAAATTCTTTTTGCACTTGAATCGATGTTTGAAATAACCTGTGCGAATGGCACAGAAGCTGGTTATACTTGCTTAGTAGTAAAAAGAGAAATTAATTACACTTGAAGGATTGGTTTTTTTGTTTTTGTTTTTTTTTCCAATAAAGGCGTCTTTTTTTGTTCTGTTTCTGGGTTTTTATTTTGTTTTACGTTTCCTTATTTTGTAAATTCTATTTCTAATGAAACGTAAATTGATTGATTTTTAACGTTTTTGTTCGCTGTAATTGGTGAAGGTAAAATTTTGTTGGCTCCATTTTCTTATACAAAAACAATTCTACTAATTTCATTCTTTTTTTTACTTCAACGAAACTAACGATATGAGGTCTTTTAAACTCCAACTATTTTTAGTGTCGGTTAAGTTATTATAATAGTTTTTGGAACGTGAATTTTTTGGATAATTAATTCTACCTTTTTTTAATGATTTTTGTTGATTTACCTTATAGTTATGCGAGAGCAATTAATAGAAATTTTCTACTCATCAAACAGCCCTCATTGTCTATTTAATGAACTTAATTTTTTTTTTCAAAAATTTTTTGAGCGCATTTTTTTATTTCATTTTTCTTGTTTAAAAAATGGTGGAGGAAAACTACAAAAACTCTTTTACAAACTTTATAAAGCTTCTTTGTATTGTTTTTTCAATTATGGCATTCATAAAGTAGATTTTTCTTGCAAATAAAATTATTGTCCTGCATGTATCTCTTTTGCTTCGCCTGCATCACCTTCTTAAGTTTCGGATGATTGCTTCAGATTATTGGAGTTTTAAATAATTCTCCGCGCTCAAAAAAAACAGGCTTACATGCTGAGACTGATCAATTGACTGATATTATTCAGGAAAAAAATAGTCGATCAATTTGACTAAAGCGTCTCTTTTTGAACCAGCTACAATTATCAATAAATGATTGCAGAAGAAAAATTTTTTAAAGGTGATATTATGGCTTTGACCTTTTATAACAACAAAGCGTTTTTCATCATCAATAATTATTCCAACAAATTGCATTTTTGTGAATGAGAACTATACTCGAACCTAAATAACTTGTTTTGATTCCTAGCACGTTCATGAAAATGAGTAGAAAAACCTACCCGCATATTTAGGCGTAAGTAATAGATTATAAATGATTATTATGATGATTTTTTGACAATTATAATTGATTATAATTACCAAAATTTGGTGTTTGAAGGATTTATAAACGATTATAATCGTGATTTTTTCCAAGAGATTATCATCTCTTATTATCGATTATAATTGATTATAATTCTTACAAAAAACCCTTAATATCAATTATAATTGATTATAATCTCTGATTTTGCCAAAATTTTAACAATTCAAAAAAAATACTCGAAATATTACTTATGGGTTATTAATTTTGTGTCAATAAGAAAATCTCTAGAAAAGAGATCTCTTGAACCCTTTGGTTCATCTGAACACAAAGTTTTACCACGAAACAAAAGTTTCACAGAGATCTTTTCATATTAGTAGAAAGGTTCCCGCGGTAGATAAAAATAAAAATTTCCGAATCATTCATGAAACTAAATCAATTTGCTGATGTTTTGGGTGGGTAAAAAAGCTTAAATTATGCATCAAAAAACAACTCTAATGGGGAAGAAATGCAAAAAAAACCTGATAAGTTTGAATTGATTGGAAAACTTTAAAAAAAATCTCATTTTTCATAGGAATCAACGTCTACAAAAAGCATAAAATATAAGCAATTTAGATGCAACTTCGAACACAAAAAGGACAAACAAGGGATTATAATCAATTATAATCGATTATAATGGACTTATGTGCAAAATTAATTAATTGAAATTTTGATTAAAAATAATGGATTACAATCAATTGTAATTGATTATAATTGTATCAAAATATAGACGAAAAAAATAATTGATTATAACCGGTTATAATGTAATATAATTAATTATAAATTGATTTTAAAAAGAGAGATTATAATCGCTTATTAATTGATTAAAATCGATTGTTTCTCAATTTTAGTAAGACTGGTACTAAGATCGTAATATAAACAATTATCAACGCTTGAATCTGGATGCGGGTAACGCAAAGTGTGTTGTTTCCAAATACTTTAAGGCATTTAAAATATCGCTGGGAATCAAAAACTATGATTTCGAAGCTCCATTCGTACTGATTCAGACTTCCAAAACTATTCCAAAACATGTTTCAGTATTGCGAAAATTTTCTGAGTTACTACTTTTCAGACTATATTAGACAAAAGTAATTGATAACCTGAATTCTTGTTCAATCTAAACAACTTCATTGTAGCTTTTTATATTAGTTTCTTACTTTCAACGATTTCTTGCTTTTACTTAAAAACTAACAAAAAATTTAGTGAAACAATTGCGAAGAATTTTATCCCGTGTTTAAACTTCTTTCGTTTTTTATAATTTTAGTTAATCACTGTGGTGGGATAAGTTTACTGTTTGCGCAACAACTGATCTTAGGGTGGAACAAAGATCGATATCGACTCAGAGCAACAGAATTTTCTATGAAATTTGAAAAAATTCGGTTTCACTCTGCTTTCATGGACTCAAAAAAAATGTTTCAGCCAGCTACACGCCTTGCAATAATTTTGATCGATCTTTTTCTCTTTTTTATGTTTGAAATTTGATATTTTGTTTCACTTGGGACAAAAATAAAAATATTAAAAAGGAAGGAAAAGAAATTTTTGTGTATCTTTAGTCGCAGGACCACTTAGTCACAGAACCAAGC